GCCCAGGTGCTCCCTAGTGGCTTGGTTGCTGAGGTGTTCCTGAGGGACATTCCCTGAGACAACAGCGACGTCTCAGCTTCCTCTGTCCTGTCCTCAGGTCAAAGGTCAAATCTCTGCAGTCTTATTGACATGTCCTTCAGCAGCAGCAGGAGACACAGACCGTCCAACAAAACTGTTAACCAGCCCTGTAGAGTCAACGCCACAGTTTCCCCTGAAGAGGTTGTTGGATTGACTCCTGGTCTGCTGCTCCACCTCCAACTTCACTCCACTCCTCTTCCCACAGCGGCTCCAGCAGCTTTTCATTATTCAAATGAAGTTTTGGTGGCTGCAGGAAGTCAATACCCAGAATACATCTGTGACACACAGAGAGAGAGAGCGGGGGGTGTGTGTGTCGTCCAACTAGTTCTGCTGACTGGTTATCTGTGCAGGTACACGGGATGTACTCTGTTGTACTACATTGATACTACACTGCTACCATCTGTGGTTGGTGTTGTGGAAACATCAGTTCTGCTCTGCATGATGGAAGTGAAGAACTGGAACAAGAAACAGGATCCAGAACTGGAACTGGTTAACTCTAGTTAACAGAGGTTTATTCACAATTAGTCAGTCTCTGTCTCCACCTCTGTCCCCACCCGTGTCTCTGTCTCCACCCGTGTCTCCGTCTCCCTCTGATCCAGAAGCCGCAGAGCCGGAACCTCGGAGCCGTCACACGGTCAAACCTGCAGCTTCATAAAACTTGGAGAGCCCGCCCCCTCTGACAGCCAGCGTCTGTTTACGAAAAGTCACGGGAGCAGCGTGAAGCAGAGAAAGGTTCACAGAAAATGTCACAGCGAGCTGCCAACAGGGGGAAGAGCCGGACTTCAGCACAGCCAGCCCCGCGTTCTTCGGCCGCCTCCGTCACATGCTTCATATCCGCTGTCACTCGCCACTTGTCACGGATATTAGCAGCTCTTTACTTCGGCGTGGAGGTGATTTACAACCAGCGGTGCTATCAGCCACAATGGCGAGGCGTAAGAGGCGCAACCCAGTGAATTGTTGCGCTTAATACCAAATCAGTAAAACACCTCCGCCTCACAGACACGGACCTGAGCTCCGGAAACGCAGCGTCAAAAAGAGGAAAAGGGGCAAAAAGAGTCGGAGCGACATGGAAAGCCCCACCGAGAACCCGAGCAGGGCTGCGGAATATTTGAAGGAGCTGAACCGGATCATCGAGACCCAGCAGGAGTTGCTGGAGAGGCAGAGGGAGAGGATCGAGCAGCTGGAACAGCAAGTGTCCGACCTGTGCGCGGAGAACGTGTGTCTGAAGGATCAGTACCAGCGGCACTTGGCAACCTGCAGGCTGCTGCAGGGCAGCGACAGCCTGCTCTCTCTGGAAGCCATCAACCAGCACGTCCCACCGGACAAGTAAGACACCACACCGCTGTCCACACCGTCCCTGACAAAAGTTGAATCTGTGTCTGTCCATTTTAACTCACAGTCCAGCTGCAAATCAGTGTCAAGAACTGATTTGCAGCTGGAACTAAAATAAAAAATTCACTTCAGCTTCTGACTTTGAGAAAGAACCAGAACGTGGTTCCTTTTCTGACCATATCTGGTCAAACGTCTCTGGAGGTTCGAACACAGCAATGAGGGAGAAGCACGTTGGTTTCCTGTGAAGGAATTTTCTAGAGAATTTTTTTTATAGACTGGTTAGTAGAGTGGTTAGTGGACTGGTTAGTGTTCTTCATTCATTTGTTTAATCCCCGGTGTAAAGTCAGGGTCGTTCAGAGATGGACTGTAGAAGTGTCCAAACCTCACGTTTGTCCAATGACTGTCCTCTGTCCCCCCCCCCCCGCGCCCCCTCCTCCCAGCTCCCTTCATAGGTGATGTAACTGTGTTGTTTTTTTTTTGTTCATCTCCTCTTTATAGTGTGATACTCAACAAACAAACTGGCACATATTTAATTGAATCTTTTTTTTCTTGCTCTGCTGCGTGACCTTTGACACTAACTGGTGATGGTATATACAGTCAGACTTTTTTTATATACCTCTTAGTGATCATTAAGGCTTGATGCACAGACAGGCACAATAACCCATGATGTATAGGAGAGCTGAGCACCACCTCCTGTGGGGGGGGGGAGGGTAATGTTTAGGGCTGAAGCAGAGCAGAGGCCTCTGGGACGTACTGGACTCTACAGCTCTGTACTAGTGTCTGAATGTAACCAGCTGTGATGATTTATTGCTGGTCTGGATGAACAGGAAGAATATTATTTAGATTGATGACCAGAAATCGTCTGGTCCTGATACGGTAACTGATCATTTCATATTTTGACATTTAAAACAAATACTGGTCTAGTGAAGAAATGAATCTAAAAGAAGGGATTTTAAAGTTTGGCGTCAGTGTGAAAACACGTCAGACACAGAGTGTCGTAAAGACCAAAGTATTAACTTCACAGACATCAAACATATCTCTGTGGTTTCATCATCGTCTGCCGAACCTGTTGCACCTTTCAAACACCTGTTGAAGGGAAACATCTTCCATTCGTTTCTTTGTTTTTAGCCTCCATGCTAACGGCTGCTGCTACGGCTTCATAATCGCTCGGCTCTGCTTCTGTCTTTGGATGAATCGTTGTATTTGTTGTTTTGAAACTTCTGAAATGTAACTGTCAACAACAATCCACACAGTCGTAGATGAAACTTGACAAAGTAGAATTATGTTGTCAACGTAAAGCACAGCTGAAATGTCAACCCAACAACATTCCAGAACGGCGTACAGGATGTTGTTTGTGTCATGTAGAGAGAGAGAGAGAGAGCGACAGAGCGGGGCAGACATCCAGACAATAATGTTGAATTAATCAGAGAAGACAAAGACATGAGTCACAGGTGGATTTACACAGTACTGTTGGACGTGACCCCCGTTACTGTTGTAGGTCAGGGAAGACCATCAGAGGGACATCGTTTCTAGTCAGGAAGAACTAACAGAGTAGGACAGAAGTAACAGAGGTCATCACAGGTCACTGAGTGCAGCTGTGGCCAGAGAAGATGACCGACTGTAGTTACAGGAGACGTAGGTGGTTCAAATCCAAGTCTGGTTACAGTAAAGAAAAATATCAGTGTCATTTTTGCTGCATTTTGTTGCACTATTCTATTTTATTCTATTCTATTTGTAGTGAATTAGTGGTAGCAGTGAACATGCTAGCAGTAAAAAGGCAGATTATGATTTGTAAAGAAAGTAATTCAAATGTTTTGAAGCAGTAATATTTTACCTCCATGGTTGTCAATAAAAGGTTTGTGTTCCACTGTTGGTACTTGGCTCCAGTAGAAGAATTAGTTGTTGTTTTTTCTGAACACTGTTGGCAGAATAGAGGAGATCAATAGAACTCTCCAAAAAATTGGTAACAAGAGGGAGAATAATTCTGTCACTGTGTGTGTGGTTACAGAAGTACCAGTTGTACAATAGTACCAGAGTCGGTTTGGCTGAAAAAAAAGCTCAATGATCTGATTAGGGTGACATTTCCTCCTCCAGATACTGGTCTTTGCTGGACGTTGTAGGTCTCATGGTGTAGGCGTTTTCTGTGGTGTGAATCAGTTTAGTACCTTTGCTGGACGTTGTAGGTCTGATGGTGTAGGTCTGATGGTGTAGGTGTTTTCTGTGGTGTGAATCAGTTTAGTAAAGTCTATTTTTTTCAGTATGAGGTTCAGTGTAACATCTTGACCTAGTGTCAAACCCCCCCAGCCCACTCACCCCCCCACTCTGATGCCTCCAAACTGCCTTAACTCCACCTGAGTGTTTGATGGTGCTGGGGTCATGTGGTTGTGCTTGACCTCTGGTCTCTGGTCCATCCTGGTACCACAGGGATCAGAGGCAGCAGATGATCACCGGTGACTGCTGGACTCCAGGTCTTTAGCAGCTGCAGTGATAGGAGCAGACACAGGAGATAAGGATCCAGTGTAACTCTGACCTTATCATAAATCCCCTCTGGCTTCAGGAGCTTCCGTCTCATTCCCTGGAATAAAAGGCTACTCCGTCTCCTCTTTCCTGCAGTCGTTGTGTCCTGACACGGAGCCAAACTCCCAGTCCTGACACAGATCTTCTGCTAAAGAGTTTGTAACCAGGCCAATAAACGTCACGTTAGCATAACAAACGAGGCGTCTGAATAATGTGTGTCATCTCCGTCGTCATTTTCGGCCGTGACTTATATCAAGGTCGGAAAACAGTGATAACAGCCTGGAGCTCACGTCTGAAGAAGGGATTCCCAGAGAAAGACTTTCTGACGTCAGCTGGAACTGAACTGGATATTAAATCAAAACTAAGACGTTTCTTTAGCATAGATTCACAAACTAGAGTTTCCCTCAGTGGACGGCCCTGTGTTGGAATTGAGTTGAGTTGAATTCTCCTTCTGGGATATTAATAATCCTCTGTGGGATTGGACTGGTTAGACCCAGTCTACTGTAAATATACGTACATATATATGTTCACTTCTACGACCCACCGCCCATCTTCAACCTCACAAGCTTCTCTATCTCCCCAGTTGTCTCTACGTAGACTTCCTGTCATTTGACCAGACGATATGTTAACGTCATACTTTCAACTACATTGACTTAGCATTTGTCTTTTATTTCTAGTCTAGTATTGTACTTAAAGTTATACTTTAAGTTGTACTTAAAGTTATACTTTAAGAACAAAAGTCTACTTTGATCTGAAGACCTGGTTCAGACAAGGGCTGTAAGAAAATATCAAAAACTGTCGTTGTACCTATAGGATCACAATATATCTCAATATATCGTATCGCCTGATCCTTGTTCTTCGTTTCACCCTCAGTGTACAGTATTATAGAGTGAATTGGAGCTGATTTCAGTTCATTGTGATTAAACCCCAGTGGTGTTTGTTTACTGCTGGTACATGAAGCACAGACTCGGTCTGTTGATGTTCTGCAGGTGACCCAAACCGCCTACGTTCACTCCCGGCTAACAGCTAATGGCGCTGTGTAAATGAACTCACTCACCTGTTTTATTTCACTCTCTCTTCTCCTAAAATGAGCGTCTGCAGAGACAGTGGAGTCGGATCAGTCTGGAGCAGAATGAAATTACACACACACTCAAACACTCCGTCCAATTTGTCCTGAATATTTGACTCGCTACTTCAAACAGCAGGACACTTTACTGCACCCTGGGAGTGGAGGGGGTTCTGGTACTAGTTCAACTCGCTGCGGTGCTGCCGGGTGCTTTAACCATTAGGCCATGGGTTGTATAAACTTCACTGGACTCCCAGGACAAGGACATAAAACTGGTTAAACATGTGTCTCCACCAGGCGGACATTTTAAAGCTGTTTTTATTCCTCTTACCTCAGGATGAAAAAATCTTTAGCCTCCGTTCTTTGTTAATAGGGAAGAACAATTCAGATAAATTGAAACTGTGGAGTAGTTTGAGCCACGGGCTGAAAAAATGTCCAAACATAAAAGACTTTAATTTAAAACATAAAGATTCTTTTTCCCTGGGATTAAGGGTTGAGATTAAGGGACTTCTTTTCTAGATGTAGATTAAATTTCTTTGTGTTTTTGTGCATTTACCTTTTTCTAAACATCTAGACTTTTTTCATGTAATAGAATTAGAAAAAAGTACATCATTAAAGACAGCAAATGAACATTTAAATATAGGAAGGGATTTGATTCAGACAGAACTCATTCTGCTCCATTTAGCATTTGTGCTAAGTTTGATTGATGTCTTTGTTGTTGTTGATTTTTCTCCTGTTGATGACATTGATATAAACCCTCACAGTCAGAATCTCTCCAGGCCACTAATATTATGGCCTAATCCAGATCATGACTGTCCTGTCAATCCTCGGCTCTAATCCCTGGAAACAACTAACACAGATATTTTTTTTTTGCTTTCTAAAAAAGGTTAAATACTTTACAGCAAAAATAGTTTATAATAAGAATGATTTATGTTTCAGGAAAAGTTGAAACTGGAGTTCAGACTGTACCACACAGAAGCTGCCGTCACCGCTGCACCACTGAAAGGCTCTGGTTGCAGCAGATTTGACTAAAGCCTGAAAAAACATGGCGATGGTTTTGTGTTTCACGTTCCGATGTCAGGGTCAGTTGGAGGTTTTATCTTTGTTCTTTTTTTGTTTTTTTTGTTCTTGGTTTCCAGAAACAGGAACACAGTTGTCCGTATTGACGCTCCTGCTGTTTATGTACTGTTCACCTGGTTCAGTTAGTAAATCGTTGAACTAATGAAACAGGAACAGGCTGAAAGTGAAAGTGTGGAACCGAGTTCCTCTGCAGAACAGAGAACAGCAGATAAAATAACTCAGTGAAACTGACATTAGATTGACTGATATCAGTACCAGGATCGGTATCAAGCACAGTATCACTCTGTCCAGATCTTCATAGAAGACCTGAAGTCCAGACCAACAGACTGTT